TAAGACCAAATTCATCCAAAAGATCGTGGGCTTCAAAACCATGTCTCCATGACTTTTCATCTTCCAGGCCTGGTTTCCTGCCTTCAATATCAGATTCTCCGTACACTACTATATTATCTGAAAATCGAACCAACTTCCCAACAATTAATGGATAGCAATGAATGTCAATATTATTTGCATATATTGTGTACTGTTGAAGAAATCCTTTTGTATTTCTGAGGGCTTCAAGATGCAGAACAATGCACCCATCAACAATTGAACTTCCAGGACCCAACTCTCTGTTTGGACCAGCAATATTCACACCCATACTGCACTGACTTAAAGATTCAGAGCCCAGCATATTTCCAGTGGAGCAAAGTACATGGTTTGCAAAATCATCTTTTGGGGAACTAGCAGTGATCCGACAAGTCTCCACAGAGGCCCAGCACTCTGGAAAATCTCTTTGGTCGTACCTGCAATCAGGTTGGCCATTGATGAGCATAGTAAAAACAAAAAGCAATTACAACATGATGCAACTTGCCAGTGGATTCCCAGATGTTTTTCATACTTCCAATATCTGTTTTGATGATTTTGTTACTTCATTCTTTATGCATGTTGTTATTAAAGTGAGAATTAACATGTCGCTATAGCATTGCTAATGTTCCAAATCAGTTATTGTTGTGTAGAGGCATATCTAGAACTTAGAACTAAGGAAAGTAGATGCTTTTGTTTATAGTTTTGTCCAAAGGCAACACTTCCACTTTAATATTATAATGAAAATCGATATTTTAAGTTGACATAAAACATTACAACTCAAAAACAATTTGGCGCGTGCTTTCACGAGCACCAACGATTGCGAACTTAATTTTACTATCACAACAATCAATGACTATCAACTAGCATATTAGGGGAGACCCAAACGCAAATCACAGGGTAAGAGAATATGCAAATCGGGATGAATAACTACAGTGTTTTTCTTATATAGATAAAAGAGGAACAAAAGTAATACCAGATGGCTAGATTCTGACAGTGGAGGTTCAGGGTGCAGCCATCAGCCACACTTTCTTCAAGATTAACTAACAAATAAACTGCATCCATATTAACATCAATAGAAAACCAGGGATGAACGGAGGTCTGCAATACATTTGATGAAGGTTCAAGTGAAGCATTGGAGTTCGATGGAGGAAGAAGCGTATTAAACTGCTTAACGAATCCCATAAGTTCCCCATAAATGGAAGCAGAGAAGTGAACATAAAGTGATTGAACCTGTACTCGAACCTGTAAAACCCAGCCAATAACTTATTATGCATTCACATTAGAGCCTCCATAATTTGTGTCATAATACACATCCATTTATGTTACCAGAAATCCAGTTATTTATACATAATAGCGGTCTAGTCTGATTTGACAAGCAGATAGTCAGTAGAAAACCATAGGCAACAAAAGAGACAAATAGGATTAGTTGTGCTTTTAAAAAATCAAGTTAACCCTTAGAACTAACTACTAAGGCTTTTAGCGTGATACAGAGTACTGTCTGAAGAATAATGGTAGACGTGCTTTTTCTAAAAGAGATTTTAGGATAAGAAGCATAAAATATAGAAAATATCTAACCCCATGAAAGGAAGGAAGCAAACAAACATAAGGATAAGGGGGTTTGACTGAAAATTAGGGTTTTAAGAAAACATCACCCAATTCGATGTAATTTTAGGTCATTATCACCCTCTAAATTTACCACCAACATCGAACAACAAACCATTTCTACATACTCCTATAGAAACTTCTGCTTTTAACAGGATTTTCCATGGGTTTCCATCCACTTTTGCATAGCAATATTCTAAGAGTTAATCCATGTGCCAAAAACAAATGTCTTTGCAAATCTCTCTTTGAAGGGAAGACCAAACCCATTTTGTGGTAAATGACAATATTTGTTCGCGAAAGGATAAAAAAGGTCTGGTACATTATAATAAAAACATCTAATAATTGTACAGTACATCATCATATCTATATCCTAAATGAAGATACTCGGTGTTATCACGTACCTCCAATCCTTTGAGGATTGGTTCATCGGGTAAAATACAGGATACCAAGTCTGCAGTAGCACTAAACTTCTCTAAAAGAGGGAGAGTTGCAGAAGAAGACATCATCAGGTTTATCTGCAAAACATCACATGTGAACATAACCCCTTTTTAAGAACGCCAATTTGGAGGGGATATAACTGCTAACCTTTGCATCATTTATCTGGATGCCAAAATGATCATACAGATCCTCAATCTGAAACCCCATTCTGGTATCTTCAATGGAAACAGACCTATCTCCCATGTGAGAACCAGAATAGTGTATTTCAGTTTTGGAAGTGAAGCAGACAGTTGCTACTTCAATTACCTATAAAATTGGATTTACTAAGAAACACAAATAATATAATAAGATTGCTATGGATGTTAGTTACTCAAGTCAGCCACTACATATGGAAGAAAGAATTAGAAACGTCATTTACCTACACAGATTTTGATCAATTGTTTCTCAAAAACGTTGAAGCTAGAATATATGGACAATCTAAACATCTCACATAATATATGTTCTTGACACATAATATTTGTTCTTGTAAATTGAATAAAAGTCAATTGCACTATATTTAGCCTATTAATTTAGCAGATGTAACTTCATAAGAAAATCTTCAAACTTACAACACCTAATTCCATGTTTATAAAATTGAATTTAAATTTATTTATTTTTATTAGGCAGTAACTCTTAGGAGAAATCTTTCGAAAAGTAAACATAAAAGACGGAGGGATAACACAATGTACCCCATACCATTTTATTTCAGGATCAAGCAATAAACTTGCACCCGTGAACAATCATGATGAACTCAATAAGTTAATAAATCAGATAGCACACTCTTTTCCTATGATTCATTCTCCAGAAATCTTTCACAAAATCCAACAAAATAAAGTGCCTGTAGTTATACATTGCTTCCCTTGCAAAATGACAGTAAAAAAGATGGATTGAGCTCCTTTATTTCTAGATTGAACAATTAAGCTTGTCCTAGAGAAATTTAAATCTACACAATCTTTCACCTACAGAATTGTTCTAAACACAGCATTTTCAATGTGTCTTGAACATAAAGGCAGGATTAAGAAGACAAATCTTTCATGAACTAGTAGAGTTTCACCCAAACTCAGGGAAACTGTACTAGTTTATTTTATAGCTTGGTCATAAATAAGTCATTTTAGTAATCCTAAGTCAATTTAGCAATCTAAGTGAACTTTGAAGTTTCCCTAAGATGTTTTATCCGCAGATCATTCTATTAACATACTTTATTGTGTTCAATAATATTAATTTACTATATTATGTTCTTCAACGTTAATATATTTGCTATTATTTTAACAGCATTTTAGTCACTTTTACAATAACAAAGGAACGAAAAATACATACCATGTTATGTTCTTCAGTGTTAGCACTTCCACAAGGTATTTTGACGACAGTATTGATAAGATTGATATCCCATATCATTTTCTTACGACTTGATAAAACATAACTGCAAAACAAATGAGATGTAATAATGAACTCAAAAACCTGAGAGGTGAATGACAGCAAGAAACGCATTAGATATACATACATGTATAAATCTAGAGAACCACAAGTAGAAAAATTAAATGCCCTTGAGAGATGAAACATACTCAATTTTTGATTGAAATCGTGAGTCAGTGTTGTCAATGTCATTCAACGACAGCAAAATCTGCATGATCAATATACCTAAATTCAGCGAACACATTGTCTTACAAAAAGGTAGAGCAAAAACTTTAGGAATCACTTCAATTCCTTGCAAACCAAAGGATTAAACATGCATTTGTCAGCAGGGAAACAAAATCCAAATGATAAATGCTGAAAATATAATGAAACGCCAAAAAATGCTCCATAGAATGCCGCAATGGCATTCTAAAAATTTCCCTGTTTTAGTTAATATTTAACTCTCAATACACCACACAGAAAATTATGTCAGCATAAAAGATGAAAGACTAGTACATTATGCACAAAAATTCAGGTCCTCTATCTCTCGTTTCTGGATCATAACGAAATCCAATTCCGTTATAATATGAGACTATGCACCTGCATGCTTTAAGATCAGGACTTTTTTATGCAAGACAAAGAATGCAAGAAATGCATAAGAATCTTATAGAAGAAGATAAAGATTAAGTCTATTATAGTGCAAACCTTTTTGTTCATCTGATATGAACAAAAACTTAAAAACAACAGATCAGAAGCATTTCTAACAGAGACATCTCAGATAAAAATATGCAATATCGTCAAGCTTCAATAGAACCAAAAACAAATAATACATCGAGTAGATTTGAACCAAAATGAGTATTCTAGTTCTTAAAAGAGAAGAAATAACAAAAATAGCAAATAATTTTGAATCAAACATAGGAATTTCATAAAAATGGAGACCCAACATATCTGACTCAGAAATAGAAAGGTCATATTACCCTTTGCTGGTGAAAGCTGAAGTTCTGCAGAATATGTAAGAAATCCAGAATATTCTTCACAAATTCTGAGTCACAGAACATTTCAATTGGACTAACGATCACCTGGATACATAAGATGCAAAAATCATCAACCCAAAAATTGCAGGCAGATAGCAGATTAAAAGCTATGGTTATTCAAAGTTAAAGGACTTAAAAGAGAAGGTAAACCACAAAACCTTCACAGACGAAGTAACATCAGCACTTGGAGGTGAAAGATCGAATTTGACATTTAAAAAAGGCTGCTGCTTTTCAAGAACAATATCCTCGGAATTGACCTGCAAAACATTTAAGTCCAATATGGTATACCAATACTGTAATAAAAACATTAGATGCAAAACGATGCATGTGTAAACTTTGTTAATTTTTCTGGATACTATTAATCAAAGAAGATCATTATTATGGTGGCATGTATGTGAACTACCTTTCTTGAACTATTAAGCAGTTGCAAGACCTGGTTGTTGCGATTTTCTTACAACTAGTTGTATTCTATACTTCTAAACAATCTATCTTCTCCTGTAACATCTTAACACAAACTACATATTATATAACTGGTTGTTACGATTTTCTTACAACTAGCAGATAGCATTTAACATTAATTATTATAATTGCTAGAAACAGTTCCACTAGGAACCAGTACAGGTGTTCTTCGTGTAATGGTTTGGGCTTATACAAACCAATTATTTACACACACCTATTTTTACACTTCCTAGGTATAATGAATAATGAGGAAAGGATTCATCTCATAGTATTCCTAAAAGATACATCAACGTATATACATATCATTCTAAGCTAATCTAGAAAACTAGATTAATCAGTATCCCAAAATACAAGCTAATCAATCCTAGCCATTTATATAATATATTACACTCTGTATTTTTTTTTTTTTTTTTTGAGAAAATATTACACTCTGTAACACTAGGCATATACACTTGTGGTTACTTTTCGTCCTAGCAAGTGAAGAGACAATACTAGACAGTATGACATGGACTTCAGAAGTTAAAGAGAGTTGGGGTAGAGATTTGTTGGACTAAAACACCAAGGATGTAAAAGAAGCGCCGTGAACTTAAAGGTCCCCACAAGGTAATACTCGAGAACAACAATACCAAAAAAATGGATCGCTATTTGCTGGCGAAGCATAACCACTACATAAGCAATTCTAGATTATAATACTTTAGTAATTTAACAACCACCACGTAAGAAAGTTATAGATTATAATACCATTTACTTGCCAAGTATAAACCACTGCATAAGCAAATTCTAGATTGTAATACTTTAGTAATTGAACAACCACCAGATAAGCAATTTGTAGATTATAATAGTACGGTAATTTAACAATCCCCGATCCGTATACTTCACTACCCTAATAAAAATGGGCAGGTTAAAGTCATCCTATATCATTATACTTCTTTAAAGTACATTTCTGTTTACCAACTTCTAAACTCACTACATGAGATAAAGTAGCAAAAAAGACCACAGTTTATACATAAGTAGAAGCATATGTACCTTTTCTGTGGACAAAGCAACTAGATTATTACATGGATTAAGCAACTGAGCAGAGTTCACAAAGGTGATAATAGTTGCCGATTTCTCCCAGACCTTTCCTTCAACATAAATTCCATGGAGCGTCAAATCAGCTATAGCCCCTCCCAGCTCCCTAAATTATACACCAACTATATATGATGATATTGAAAATGAAAGTTCAAAATCGACCCAGAATAAATTATTTTTAATTTATTTACATGAGAGAATAAGAATAGGACGACAAGGACCTCAAGGAACACATGATAATCAACATACGTGATCAAACAGTAGCATGACATTGCTATTAATTTAAAACTGCAGATCTTTAAAAAGCACCTGAAACTTAGCACTGGAATAAGACTACGGTCCAACTTACCCAAAGTGAATGATAAAATCCTACAAACATTCTAGCATGTAGTTCCTAACCAAATCCACTAAGTAGTCTCCCTTATTGTAAATAATAATAACAATGAAAAGAAAAGTACATTTTTATAATTATGTAATAAAGCTTTCTAGCAAAGTGTACAGCAAAATGTCAGTAGCAAAAAATATACTTTCATTTGCATGTGAACGAAAAAGTACTGGCATTGCTGCAATTGGGTCAAATGGAACTATGAAATTTCAACACGGTAGAGGACATAGAGAACTTGTGTCTATTGGACTTCAAGTGCAGCATAATACTAGAAATAAATCACATACATGCTCAGAAGCCTAGTATGAATTTCAGAAATGTTGATTTTCACTGAAGAAAAATAAACTTCATCCACCATAGCAGAATCCCCAATTAACGCAGGAGCAGGATGGAACTTTGTTGCCTCGTATATGTCCTACAGAGAGAATTCCATGTTTTCAGAACTAATGGAATGATGCTAGTATAGACCCCCATTATTTCACATAATTCTTAATTCATGCATTGTCGGTAAATTCCAATTAATATATATATGGATACCTTGATCACATCATCTGAAATCACACCAGAAAATTGATTAGAATCATTTGTCCCCCCAGCGCCAAGCATGCCATATGATAGCCAATTCAACCATCCACGGGGCTTGGTAGGGGGGTGGTCATCTTCAATGTCTGCATTTCCATCATTGCTCCCATATCTAGATGCTGGATTTACCAAGAAATCCTACAAATGAAAAGCCATATTACTATCAAATAAAGTTTATATTTTGCATTCTCAGTTGGTTTTCAGACAGTAGCAACTATAATGAGATAGAGAGCCGACTAAATAAGCTACAACCCCCATCAACTTACAGTTAGGAAACTGACAACCAAGATCCTACAGTCAGAAGCTAACTGGGTAAGAAATATGATAAGAACTTAAGGACCTATTAATCAGCAGCATTACCTCTAGTTCACATTCAGCAACAGATCTGTAATTCAAAATGTCATCTATATCAGTTTCTTTCTCCATTTCCTCCAAAATGTGCTGAACATCATCTTCCACCACCTGATGATAGTGAATAGATTGAATTGTGTGAGTAAGAGCAAGAGAGGAAAAATGAACATAAAAATAGCCAAATAAAGATCATAAAGCATCACCCATATTATACTCTTCAATAATACCTCAAAAAAAGGAAGTTATCCTACAGAGACAGTGGATGAAGCAGCTCAAACTTGCTTCAAGTACCATCTCTGGCAGTCAGAAGGTGCATGAATAAGAATCGAAATGACATTTATTGCAACATATAACTTTTAAGTTCAAAATCTCATCATATATGGTGTTCCCTCTGTTCCGCAATGAAGTTTAAATCATAAACACTTCACGATATTCCCCTGGATAATGCGATAAAGGAAAATGTGTTTACATTGAGTTGTAATCTGATCAAATTAGAGTCTCATTTGACATTTCATTCGTTTTGCTTTAATTTATGACTAATATCGTTTTCTTTTGAGTAAAATAATGAGACTCAAAATGTATCGAAAAGATTACCAGGGGAAAGTGTTATCATGAAAATGTGTCGAAATTGGTAAGTTGGAAGAGAATTGAGTTGATTTAACATTTGATATAGGAATATGTTTCTTTTTTGCCTGTTTTCAAATTTAAAATTAGAGATATTTCCTAAAAGACATAGTAGGATTTATGGAAATAAGCATTCAGAAAAATAGGACGCCTAATAATACCAAGTACATCCGTACACTAGCCTTTTCAAATGAGACTCCTAAATAACCTCTCAAATTACCCAATATGACCTCTTCCCGCCATTACTCACCTACAAGCATATTAATCTGTCTGCTATCCTCGTCTCCAATGTCTATTTGTTAAACATTCAAGGAATGGATTAGTCAAACTAGGCTCAATAAGCCAACTAATTTCTCAAGTTAGATACGTGCTTGAGTGCAATAATGCACATGAAATCAAAATAAGTAAATAGCAAATAACATACTAAACAGTTTTTAGACATAGAAAACGCTTGATAACTTGCATCACAATTGGAAGCTTTCTTCTTAAAGTTTGTGTTAACTCATTCTCCTACTGCTGGATCCGTCATCAGTTAGCACATTAAAAAAATACAGATTACCCAAAACTATCCACCCACAAACAACTGGATACTGTAAGGCCGAAGCAAACTTCGGCAAATGCATTTGACAAAATATAAAACAGTATTTCTCTTAAGAAACAACCGAAATGAACACCGAAAAAGAGAAACACTGTTGTTTCAATCAGAAGAAATCATCCAGTCTTCTAGGAAAAACATTGGCAAAAATACAATTTTGATGATATAATTGCTAAAAGATGCTCTCTTTTAGTTAAATGTGAAAGATGGGGGTTCGATCTTACATATTTTTTTCTTGCTAGACTGATTTTAATTAGAATAAGTTGATATTGCCATCGTTGTTTCTTATCACTCCCTACTCCCACAGTTGAAAGTTGAAACCCTTAAATTGCACAACAATGATCCATTGACCACTCTTTATAACTATCCCAATTAGTATACATTTCTTAATTGCATGCTATACTTTTAATCTCTTATTCTCAATCATCCACGAAAAGATTATATTGTTTTTTTTATCCGTCTGAAAAATGGAAATTTTTCATGGTAATTGTGAAGAAGTTTGTCAAACATTATTCCTATGAAGAGATAACTTAACGTAATAATATTAAGCATAGTTTGTGATGAAGCTGACTTCCATCCCATAACAGATGCGATAAAATAGGTCAAAGAAATATAAAAAAGGAATACAAATGTTAAAAAATTTACACATATTCTAGTAAGATTTTACTTGTGTGTCAGAGCAAAATCTAGTTTTGTGAAGCATAAATTTATTTTTTACAATAAAAATTCAAATCGAAGTAGGGGTGGGGCATGATTTGAACCCTGGACCTTTACCCTAATGGTAAAGGCTGGGTATCAAAACTCTCCTAATCAGAGTTGGTGTAAACGCTGAATCACCGGAACCTAAAATTCCTTGTAATTTCCTTTCTTAATGAAGGAAAAAAATTAAGTTTTACAAATAATATGATGTGAAAATAAACAAATAGGTATTTATATATACATATATATATATATATATATATATATATATATATATATATATATATATATATATATATATATATATATATATATATATATATATATATAAAGCAAGTATCTGATAACTATATCTTAACAGACTTGCCTCTTTTCCTTAATTTTAAATAAATAAATAAATATAACTCCTTGATCACAGGTATTTATGATACTTAAACTTAATATTCTCATTCCCTCTTCACGCCCTCTTAATTTATCAGATAATCTTGAGCACAAATTCAACATACGGCTTGTGTTTATGTGTATGTATCAGCAACTACGGGAAATGAACTGTCTTACCTGATCGTGTCTGAGGCATTTCAATTTGGCCTTATACAAGTTGACATACTTCCTGCGAGAGTTCCTGTAGAGAAAATTCAAAAATACTAAGATTGCAGTTTTCCATAACAAGTTCATCTAAAGTAATCAGCATTCCAGAGATCAACTTACAGCCTCTCTCCTAAGTACTTCCAGGATGTCTTTCTCAAACTCTTTCGAACATCAGAAAGAACAGACTTCTGAGCGTAGTGCCACCATAATTTCTGCCATCCCTTCAGCCTTTTCCCTATAGGGCTCCACCAAGGACGATAACGTCCATATCTGCAACATGAAAACAACAAAGCATATCATTTTAATAGTAACCATGACCCATAACGAATGACAAATAAAGATAACAAATAAAGTGGGTGAAATTAACAAGTGCGAGCAAATGTGAAAGAAAAATGGAAAGAATAACCCCGACAAACACGAAGATATGAGTGGGCAACACATCAACGGACTGCAGTTCAGGAAAAAAAATATACATAAAACCAGTTATTTTTCTCGTAAGGCTAATTCTAGGTCGTTTCTTCACGAGAAAGGGACGAGATTAAGGTAAAATAGGTCCAAGAAATCTTCCAAGCAAGTTTACCAGGACGCATGGACAGCAAAGTAAATGAATAGTGCTGTGGAGAACAAAGAGGACAGGTGGTATGTAAAGGAGGAGACGGGTGAGTTAAAAATGATGTAGAGAACACAGATAGTTAAATGTTCACAAAAATAGTGGTTGAAAACATATTCCTTGCATAAACAATAGCAATGAGCTTACAATATGAAGTTTCTAAACAAGTCAATGTTGGGTAGAGAGTTGAATCATAACAACACATAGAGTTGATAGTTTTACTCAATCCACCATATCCGAAACTATGACAGAAGTAGGCATAAATCCTCATCGTAAGCGAAACTGGAAAGTAAAATTCATGAATAAGCCTAACAACCTCTCAAAGAAGTCCCAATTGATATCGTTATGCTGGTATATATCATGGCAGGGACCATATACTTTTTCTTTGTAATACTGATAAAGAAGAAATTGTCAGAAACTGGGCGTTACTTATTGAATCATATTCTTCTTCCTTACCAAGAACAGTCAACGGATTTTATTCCTGGCTTCCCTGAATAATTTCTCTTTTAGGAAAAGACTCAAGAAATATCTGAACTTGATCAAAGAGAAATAGAAGTCATAACCTAAACCCAAGCCTGATGGAGCTTTCAGGTTGACATGCTATTTTTACATCTCAATTCAGAAGTAGAAGTCAGATATCAATCAAACTCTTCGGCTACCTAAAGACTACAGCAACCTAAACAGTTCTTTATTTACATTTTTCAACTTCACAAAATAATATTGTATCATAAGCATCTAACATGTAAAAGTATATTTAACAGTGTTGTATCATAAGCCTCAAATGAAAACAAAATAAATTTAACACTGTTGGTATAATAGTTCACATTTCAAGTTTCAGAACTATAAGCTTCCAACAGATTTAACACTGAAAAAAAAAAAAAAAAAGATAGCACGATTTGAAATTATCATTTCCAATTTCATAACTGCAAATCTCTAAGCTGAGAACAAAATAAAATAAATAAATAAAATAGAAGATAGTGCCCCAAACTTACTTCTCTCTCAATCGACTTAAAGACATATAGTCACAAAGAGACAGTATCTGTTGCAGCTGAACCTCGTCCATTAAGGTGGTCTACCAATAGTATAGCAAAAAGATATCAATCAATAAGATTCATCATAACAATGAAAATGAAACTATATTCAAGAAACTTCAATGCATAATGAACATACCACACGAGCCAACTCAACATCCATATTATATTGTGGAGCATCATTTAATAGTTTACCTGATCTGTTTACCTACATTAAATTGCAAAAGGCTAAAGTCAATAAAAAGCAGATGCAGACGCAAAGAAACAGTATCTGTTTACCTGATCCATAAAAATTGTTTCACTTTTAACATAAAGAAGCTATCTATCTAATATATGAAATAAAACGAAAAGGCATACAAAAAGATAGGTGTCGCATTAAGCACATCATCATCGTGTACACGAGGCAGCATTTAAGATCAAAATCCTAACAGACAGTGGATACTTGAATATAAAAGTTGATGGATATGTATCATTATAAGAGATCATAGTGACAACAATACCTTGTTTATTCAAGATAAAATAAAAAATGTGCAGTCAATATATTAAGAGTTAGAAAAGCATTACTTAATCGAAAAATATATATTATTCTATTAGAAAATTTTCAAACGTGGACTTTACCCCAAATATTCAGGGAGAAGATACATAAAATGTATTAGAACTTGTAAACAAGAGTAGACTGAATAATACACTGACAAAAAGCTCACTCAATGTCCCACCATTTTGTCAGAGAACAGAGTTTTCTACCTTTCCAAGTTCCGTACACTTACACATATTCATGTTCCAATTACGTGGCCAGAAATCAAATGGGTTTGTAGTTACAGAATCCAAGTAACACTGACAACAATGCAAGTTTCAAATTATATAGCTACGTGAGTTTCAGATTTAAAAAGAAACATATGCACCAAGATGTATGTCAAACATCTAAACACAAAATATTGACTTCCTCACGCGGCTTGGGCATAAATATTGTTTGCGGAGAATAAGTTTCAAACAAAGGACAAGCTACAATTCTGTCACTCATCATAAAATGTGCCACCAAAGAATAATCTATTGCAGCATGTTGAGATGTAAAATATAACATCATACATAATATTTTGTGTACAATACAGCAGCCAGCCTTGCTTACCGACAGAGACACTGATACATTCAGTGGAGCTAACAAAGAGGAATAATTGTCCTCTTTTAGCAATTCCCTCCCCATGTTCTTGTAACCCACCACATTCTCTGTATTCGAATCATCAGTTTTCTCAAAAGTATCATAGTAAAGTTCTAAGTTCTGAACTTCAATCAATTTGTTGACTTGACCCCCTCTGAGTTTTGCACTTGAAGATCTGAACATAACAAAAATATACATATATGAAAAGTTAAAATAACACTAAGATAAAAAAATGAACAAATTCCAACTTTCTGAAAGGATGTAAAGGTGGCCAAACTGCCGATCAATAACAAAAATATACATATATGAAAAGTTGAAATAACACTAAGATAAAAAATGTACAAATTCCAACTTTCTGAAAGGATGTAAAGGTGGCCAAACTGCCGATCCAATGGAAATAAAAACAGTGTATCCTGCGTATGTTACACTTGAGAATAGGATGGTTTTTTTTGTGTACTAGAATGTATTTTATTTACTTAGGCTTGACGTACATTATACAAAAGTATGGCTCCAAGTAAACTTTACTAACTTATTTAATAATTAAGACGGAGGAAGTTGGTGATATATGTCAAACCATGATTTCATGCGTTTAGAAAAACTCAAAGAAAAGCCACAAAATGTAGCAAAGATTCACGGTATGCCACCAGGCTTCACAAGACAGAAAAACAAACAGATTTGAACGGCATAATTTATATGGCTGTAGATGTAAGTCGCCCTGAGAAAGCAAACTGGCCAAACATGGCTTCCATATTTTTTATTATGTTGGTATATGTTTTTATGTTTGTAGCTCTCAGAAGCCTAACTAACTAACAGGTGTCATTTGGTTCTTCGTATGCCCAGGCTCAGCAGAAAATTCCTACTCTAATGAAGGCCAAGAATCACAACCAGCGGTCCTATCAATATCTCCATCAAACTTCTTAATTTCTACTAACTAAATTTCTTTTTCTACCAACTTCAGGGACCTTGTCCTCCAGAGTCATATTTAATCAACTGAAACATTGTGCCACTAACATAGAAACCATAATAATAAAATTTGTCCTCCAGAGTCATATTTAATCAACTGAAACATTTCACACTTACCTTTTACCACTGCAGGAAAAAAAAAAAAGACAAACAAACAAACAAACATGTATGACAAATTGAAGACAGCTGAAAATGTAAAATAACTAAAACAAAGAGTCAAGGCAAGGAAACACAGTACCCAGCAGCAGTTTGCCTCGTAATCGTCAAACTTGAAAACTTCAAGCCAAATACAACGTGTTCCTGAAACATACCAAGTATCAAAGAATTCATCGAATTCCCAAAATTGAACCCAGGAAAATAGAAAAAACAATATTTTGGAAGTAAATATATAACAGATTACTTTGATTGTAAGAAGTTCACCAACGTAATTATTTGCGGGATTATTTTCGAAGGAGATAAAATGAAACAATTGGAAAATGTCAATATTTTAATAAGGTATCAAAAACTTGCTCCCAGGGCCATCCAAGAGCAATGAAAATCTAAACTTTCGTCTTAATGTGATGAGAAATTTACGCAATCCTTTTTGTTGGTTATTTCGTATACTGATCCAAACAGACATTATTTCAACAATATAGACGTCAATTGGTCCATCTCCTTCTGTTGCAGCTCCTATGGCAATTTTTCATGTACCTGTAAGACGGTCTTGTATTGCACATAAACTGACTTTGTACATCTCTTTTGATCATTTGAGTTCCTCTCTTCGTAGATTTTCTAGTTTTGATGTCTCTATTTCTTCATAATCTATATCTCTGTTTTCCAATACCATTGTCTCCTTCCTTTACTTCCCAAAACACTGACAGCAGTTCTCCTAAACATCAGGGCCAGTGCCAAGAGTGGCCGGCTATGTTTCAGATAATTAAAACTTTGTTCCTTTAATTCCTATGCCAGATAAGTATTCAGGGCAACTTAAAAGACCATTGTTGGCTGTAATTTGTCAAACACCTAAAATGTTTTAATATCTATATGGAAACAAGAGTGCTTCCAAGTCTAACATGCCAGTAACCTGCTTGGCATATAACAAAGGAACTCATGAACCCGATTTACAACATAGATATATTAAATTGATCTCCTTCAACCCGTTATGTAAGAGTAAAATGCTTAAGATGCGAATTCTTGGAAAAGTTTTGATCTGACTCGTAAAAAATTGTCAGCCAAAGCAGTTTATTACAATTCAATTACATAGAACCAGCATGGTAAATAAACTGGAAAGAGAAATGTTTTATATGGATGAAATCGTACCTTAGCACTCAGTGTGTCACGATAGAGGACATGGACATTTCTGATGGATACTTGGATGCTGTCAAGAATCTTACAGAGAAGGCAGAGAAGGTGAGAGAGTGTGAGAGGGATTACTGGATAAACTGATAACTACATGGCAACATAAGTATCCAACAAGACGAGCTTATAAATTATTGCCTAACAAACACAAATTTGTATAACATGATAAAAAAACAAACCAGACAAGATTATGAATTGATGTGTTAAAACAAGACAAGCTTATGAATTATTGCCTGATGGATATAGCACGATAACACATAGTAATCAACTATATAAGCTTATAAATTATTGTATAATTGTTATAAGTGATAACAAGTACAAATTAACCACAAGAGCTTATGAACTATAAGAATAAATGCATAGCCAAGTCTGAAAGATTTATAATAAAAGAAAAAGTTGAAGTATAAGAAATTCAAAATTGAAGTCCATGAATGATAAAGGTTTTCGAGGACTCTGCTTCATAGATAAGAACGATTACACATGATGTGGACGAAATCAACATTAACAAACTCTAAAAAAATAACTACGGCAGATTATTTAAGGATTTGAATTAATTAAATAATTATCTCACGGACTACTTAAGATATGTTGCAACAAATGGTAACCTTATCTTCCTCACACAATAGATAAAAGACCAGGAAATGCAAAGATATTCTAACCTAAGGAGGAGAAAGGTTAGCCAGCTAGGACAAGGAATATTACCTTAGCAGTGATGTATGAAATGAACGATTTTCCAGTCTGATTGTCTAAAAAGAGAAAGCCATTAATTAGTACCAACAAAAAAGCCCCACTTACTGAACAGAAACTATTTAAAATTGAAATACAAAATGGATCCATAACAGTGAAGTAAGTTAATCCAGCATGCAGTCTATCTGCAAATCGCCTAGAATAAGGATCTAAAAACACAAATGACACAGCATAAAAAGGAAGAAATAAACATATAGCCATGTAGCATGTGTGCACTAACTATATTATGTAATTTCACTTCTACAGATCACTACTCATATAGGGGAGGTTTACTTCTAATAGCAAACTATTTATCAATCTATATTCTAGTTGTTCACGGAGGAAACGGCTGCTGAAACACCAAAAAGACCAGCAGACTAAAGATAAATGGAAGAAAGCTAAAGGCATAAAAGATAACGAGTCTCACCGTATGATTATAAAGGGAAGCAGTAGAGTGCAATCTTGATGATGTTCAGAAAATATCAAAAATGAGCGGAAGAAGTGTTAAATAGAAGAAGTCATTTTTGCATATTTTTATGAGCATTTGTCGAAGATAAAAGGGGTGGTGATGGCAGGTACTGGAGGTTGATGATGGAAATATTGATAAGGAGAAGTTGATCCGGGCAGTCCAAACATTCTCATTCTCCGCATACTACATTTCTAATTGACTACTAGAATTTCAATACAAATATGACAGCAAAAATGATATTCTTGTTCAAAATGAAAATCAATGTCAAAATGCTCACCGCACACGCGTCTCGATAATTTTGCAAGTTCTGCTGCCGCTAGTTGGGCCTTTTTGCTTGCATATTCTCTTCTTTCAACAGCATCCATGCACCACTACCGACCAAGAAAAAAGAAACAGTAAAATAGAATACGATCATTCGAGGCAATAAGGAATAGGATTTAGTAATACTGCTCAAGCCACAACAATCCTTCATTATCCATCGATAAGAGAATTGTTAGGGTGGGGAAGAATATGATTTTATCGCGACAGTTACGAGGCATAAGAGTTGAAAGTTAATTAAAGTATTTTCACCCTCAAAATTTGATGTAACAACCTCGGCGTATAATTAATTACCTCTGTGTCATCCCTCTGAGAGACGCAAATATATACTTCCTCTAAAATGATTATAATGGGGTCCCAGCCAAGTTTTTTCCATGGAATTTTTATGCTTAACTTCCCAACCCGACCTACAAAAGCAACAGCTTAAAGACTGTGAAAAATAAGAGGATACGGTATCAAAGCCTGTAATTAAGTAATTATAACAGAGACCTTGTAACAAGACAGCACATAAATTCATGAGAAACTAGAAAGATGAAAAGAACAAAATATAGACCAGGTTTATCTTAATAGAGCAAAGAAGAGACGTAAAAATCAGCTACAGTGATCTAAGTAGCCAAGGGACTCTATAAATAGATGCACGCCTACTGTGAATGCTTCGGTTATGCCAAGTTGATGGGACCATTGTAGGACACCTTCAAAACTGTCAAATGCAATAATTCGTACAGCATACCAGCTTCTTATTAACCAATAGTAACCCAGATTACAAAATCATAAGAGTAATGACCTCGATATTGTCTATTCTGCCATAACTACTCCACCTCCCAAGCCACCCAGTTCATCATCCGAAGTTTTTCTTTCTCTTTCTCCATGAAGAAGTCATCTCGTCGATTCCAAAAATACCATGGATAGCCCCAGCACATGATACAGAACCGATTCTTAGTTTTCCCCTCCTTTCACCCCCACTTTGTACAGCCTCTAATTCTTTACAATACTAAACTGTTGCACCGGTTCATTCAACCCACCATACTAACTCTTTAGCCAGATTCCTTTTTTTTTGGAACCTTTTGCTGCCATATTGATGAAAAAAATGAACGGTTGCCTATAATGAACGTTACATGATTCATTATAGGAAATTACCCTTTTGATAATAAGTTTAGACTCTTCTCCTAATTGTTGTTTTCCAAAAGTTTCAAGAATAATAGCATATTGCAATATTTCAGATTGACAAGAATTTGTATCATGCATTATGAGTTAAGATGTTAATTTTCAGTCGGGTGTTAAATTTATATTAGCATCTCAAAGTCCAAGTCCTTTGATAGTCTGAGAAGTCGTATAATTGTATGATACTTCCTCACTTGTGAGGGCTTTTAGTTTATGCACTTTTTCAATGAATTATATTATTTTTCTCTTCATCCTTGAGTGTGATCTTCTGTCAATTCTGGTTCAAGATGCTACCAAAATGTTATAATCACAAGCATGTCCTTTAGAATTCACTATGGAGAACATTCCTCAATAAGGATCATATCATAAATGCTTATAAGGATAACAAATTATGGTTTTCATTGTTTTTTATCTACGTAAATCCCAAACAGAATTCTATATTTTCCATAATTTAGAACTTGTAACCTTTATTTCTCCAAAAACCCAGCCTTTTAATTCTGTCACGTTTCAAAGTCTTCGACCCCCAAATTCATTCGCTGTGAATTTTAGTTAAACTGCCATAATTACCCTCCATCACATTCAATTGTGTTCCAACTTCCAATAGTTTAGAAGCGTCCAACATTCTCCTCGACAAACAAAGCAGATGAGATAGACCAGCTCATACGAGCAGATGAACTTAGCACGCCATCTACAACACTATAATGAGGTTATTCCTGCATGAATCATATTTGTGATTGCTTGCAACAAAAGTAGGTTGAGTCACCACTTGATGGAGAGGATAATCCAAGATGTGATGATATTAGTACATAATTTGATAGAGGCCTCAACTAATGATTGCGTACAAGTTAATTGAATGGGTGCACTGAAAACGAGAATAAGCTGGTACAAAAACCAAGGCATCTCATGCACGTAACTGGATCGCGATATTCACAATCAAATAGCATTAATCAGCACAAAATTCTTATACTGGCCAGAAATTCATTTTCAGAAGCATCGGAGAGATAAAACCCAAACTACTTATTATGTCATTGAGCAACGGGTCTGATTAACTTTCGGTATGTGAATAACACAAGAAAGGAAAGAGCGGCACAACCATAAAAGAAAACTCAATGTCAGATTTTAACAGTTGCCAAGATAATTTCAAAACAACTCTTACGCAATAATACCAACTTCAAGTGTAATTTCCTTGCTGGAATCCTCCAGCTAGAAGCATACTAGAAATGGGTAATCTACAAACATATGCATTTGGAATCTATTGTTTTTATTTTTTTCAAGCAATTGTCTCACCCTCTATACGTGCATTGTTCTTTTAAGTTCTACTTTTATTTCACTCAAGTCACTGAAGCATACTCTAATAAAGCAGATACAGTTCAAGTTTATTTAAGTTTTCTTTCATATGGCATCATATATTTGCAAAATCAAGTAAGATATCAAGAAAACTATGTTCAACAAGTTAAGATGCTCTAAGGTCAACTTTCAAAATCTGACAGAAAATACGCCAACATGTATTTCCTGTTAAATTATGAAACCCAAAAATCCATCTGTTTGGAAGTTAAAGCCACTTGAAAATTTACCTTGTTTGAACGCAAATGGCAGCCGAAGGTAGTCAAAAGCTTCAAGAATCAGCTCCACATTTTCTAATAATACTTCCTCTACATCCACAAAATTAAAAGAAAGTATAAGAATAGAAAGAACTTCAATTCCCTATTCAGCTACCAATTCAAACATTTCATAATCGTCATAATGCTTCTATGATTGCTCATGTATTTGCAACTGGGTAAAGCACAAGGATAAAGATAAGTATTATACTTCCGTAGAAAGAAACAATATTACCATTCCAAAGGGTGATTTTGAGCTGCTCTTTTTGGATGTCTTTAATATATTGGCCAAGGTATCCCAATATCAACTGCCTCACCAATCCTTCAAACATTATTTCTTTATTTCCTTCTCTTTTTGTTGATCTTGGTTCAATTTAACACTGAAGAAGCGGAAAAAAAAATTAAAATTGTAAGTATAGTATATTGGAGCTATTCTAGCAAAAAGCATATCATTGAAAAACTTATTCCCAAGAATCAATCAACCAACTCAGAAAATTTATGCAAAGAATATAGAAGAAGTCACGGAATGAATTCATCCTTAAGAAAGACTATGTATCTCCGTCTAGCATTCTCGTCTAAACAAATTCAATAACCGGTTGAAATCAATCCCAAAAACTACGATTGAGAGAGTCTGGTTTTGGGAGGTTCAGGGTTTGGATTCAATAAGATTAGGGTTTTCATTTGTGGAACTTTGCTCGGAATCAGGATTTTTCTGCAATCCTATCCCAATTTTAAAGTATCCAAGGTAGTGCATCATCTTCAACCCATTTTCTTACTCAGTCAGTCCAAGTGGCAAAGTTCGGGCGATGGAAGGAGGCGGCGATTGCTGAAACAATAAGCGGCGGAGACGGCATGTGTGGTGATATGGCAGCGGTGTCTAGAAGCAGAGCGTTAATAATCAAGTTTTCTACCAATTCTCTATTTTAAAATACTACAATACCCTCACTTGTAAAAATAAGAAACCATAAAACAAACACATCAGAAGCTCGCCGGAAACTCATACCGCCGGAAATTAATCTTGGGGTTGAAAAAAGCTGGTCTCTTAAAGGTCACAAGACCATTTCGATATTTGCTGACGCCACCGTAGAACAGAAGAAAAGAAGGGGAATTAGGAATTGTTTGAACGTATCTCCAACATATTCAACAGGCAATTATCGATTTTCTATATACAAAACCCTCGTTTTTTGTGCCGAGCCTTTTCCGGCGGTTGCGGAAGAGTCGACGGCGTAGGGGATTCCGTCGGCGGTACAAGATTCCGGTTGTGACTGATGCCAGGAAGAAGAATGAAGAAGACGATGAAGATGGGATTTATGGGAAAACCTTTTTTCTTCTTGAAGGTTGGTCTTGCGATGGAGAAGAATGAACAAGACCTGGTTCTTTGATTTTATTTTTTCTGGTTTTTTGGTCAATTCACAAGTAAGAGGAAGGGGAATATGAGGGTAGAGGTAAGAGTGGTAAATTAGTAAAGACCGAGTTCAATGCAAGAATAATTTCATGGGGACAACTATTTTGAATACTAACTTTTGCTTAGTTGAATACCAAAAAAATAGAAATTAAATAATTAATTGTAAATTACTTTAATACCCTTAATGAAAATTAAAACCAAAAAAATATTACAAATACTATTTTTCTTTCTTAAAAATCAAATAATAAAAAACCTAAAAAAAACATTTCTCTCCTCACTCCCAAACCCCTCACCTCCTCCACCTCCTTCTTCTCCCTCCCCAAAAACCCTCCTAAAAAACCCCAAAACAAAAGAAATCAAAACCTTACACAACTTGCAAAATGGCCTCAAATGACAATAGAATA